TGGGATGAGGCGCCCTGCTTAGCTTCATTCTTACAAAATAAAGGCAGGTTCCAGGATCTCGTGGCTGAAATATCAAGGTGAATGGGCACAGCATGGAGCCAGGCTCAGGATTAAAGAAAGCTGAACTCTTTCAGAGTCGCTACAAATCTATACATTCAAAGGCCCCTATTCCTTTGCTAGCCTGAAGATCAGGGGTCCCCCAACACTGTGCCTGTGGGTGTCCAACAGCACTGTGACGTGCTTGCTTATTGGGGAGACGGTTTTGATCTTTAAAGCACTCTCTGTGTACCTAAACTTGGTAGGTTTCTGCTGCCACCAGGAATTAAACATTCCAAATCTCTCTCTTTTGGTAGAATGACCTAGGGACTGGGCACTTATGAGGACTATGTGGCCCTGAGGAAGGACCAATGTTCCCTCTAATCTGTGGAGTCTTGTGAGCAAAAATTCTACTTTGTGAGCAACTGGCACTAAAGTTGCGAGCAGGCAATTTGGCTACTGCATAAGTCAGTTTGCCTTGGAGTCATCCTTCCTGAGCTATGGCAAAAATGTGTGAGCTGGAGGCTAAAAAACTGTGAGCTAGCTCACACTAACTCAGCTTAGAGGGAACATTGGGAAGGACTACTCTGATTTCTGGGATAAGTTTAAACAAAAAATGATTTATTTAATCAAGGAAAAAAATAGGTTTCTGGTTATTTTGAACTGTTGCTGATGAAAGGAACTTGTAAATATAACTGGCAAAGCTCGGTGTCACAAACAGTCTCTCAAACTCCCAAAGCTCCACTCTGACAGGTATAGACGCTCAGTCTAATCTCTGTCTCTCTCTCATCTATATAGCCACGGAGGCTGAACTCTCTGTCTTATTCACACAGAATAGACTCAAAAACTCCCATAGTCCTACATATGCTCTCTCTTCAAACTTCACACACAGAATCTCTCTCCTAGACACCCTCCTCCCACACTCTCAGTCATCAGCCAGTCCCATCACACTTGTCTCCCTCTATCACTCTTCTTGCATTACTGCAGTCAAACTAAACATTTAAAGAAACACGCACACCAAAACATGACATCATTACAAGCACCTTTCCTTGGTGCCCACCGAGTCTTTTAGAAAGTTTTGCCCAGCAAGGCTTCTGATTGGCTACTGGAGATTTGATTGACTGTGCTGGATTTTCAAAAACACTGCTTTGGCAGCAGCTGCTATCACAGCACAAGGATCTTCGCTGTGTGGCCGCCATTTTGTGGCTACACCCACCACGCTGTGTCAGAATTCCACAGGTGTCCACAGGCTCAAAACGTTAGGGACCAGTGTTCCCTCTAAGCTGAGTTAGTGTGAGCTAGCTCACAGTTTTCTAGCCTCTGGCTCACAGATTTTTGTCTTTGCTCAGGAAGGAGGGCTCCACAGCAAACCATTTTATGCAGCAGCCAAATCACTCGCTCACAACTTTAATGCCGGTAGCTCACTGTAGTGTACTCAAAGCTGCCTTGAATGCGTGATATGCTGTGAAACATCTAATTGAAGTGTAATGTAAAGCTTCGTCCTGGGCTAGGATCCAAATCCATCCAATTGTGTTATTAGCCCAGGAAGCACCTAACCAATCACCTTCTAGCAAGCTCCCTGAGCGGGAACATCCGTGATTGGTCCTTATGCGAACAACCTTATTGGTTGGTATTTGTACAGTGGGTGTGGCTACATTAGCCGGGAATGTTTACAAGCAGGACAGCTGCAATGTAAAGGCTGTTCTGGCTATCTGATGTTGATCCATGTTGGAGTTGTGTTTGAGTTGAAGAATAAAGTTGTGTTCTTGCTGAATCACTCTCCGACTGTTTTGTTAAGCGAGCGACTTAACACTCACAAAAGAGAATCTTTGCTCACAAAACTCCACAGCTTAGAGGGAGCACGGCTGGGGGGGGGGGACCCCTGTTGTAGATTCTCTGTATCAAAACAACCACCTCCAATTCTTCCTAGAATATCAAATACCTCTAAGACCTGGATATCCGGGCGAGACGGATAGCAGAAGGAGACATTTCGGAAGGAGACGCGGCCTCGGGGGACTGCTGGGGCCAGCGTCCCGTCTGTGCGGACCGCCGGCTCTCGATGGAGGTACTCAAACACCTTCTCTGCAGCCCCCACATTGCTCAGAAGATCTCCGTACATGTACACCAGGGTCTTTTGGGGGAGGGGACAGAAAGAAGGGAAGGGTCGGGAAAGAGAAGAGGAATGTTGTGAGAGGGCTGAACGCACTGGTGCTGGAGAGAGTGTGCATGTGAGAGAGAAACCGGGGATGGGCGGTGTTTATCAGAAACACGTCAGAAGTGCCACGTCAAGCCCCAAAGGATGATTTCCAAGTTCTGAACAAAGTCAGCCACAGAAGATGGAACGTCACAACCGCCTATCCCAGAACACCACCATGATCTTTTCTAGCAAGTAAACTGCCAAAAGATGCTAATGCCCAGATGTGGTAGACAGGCCCATAGCTACAGCGTGGCTTTTGGGGGGCTCTGCCCCCTTTCTTAAAAGCACAGCCCCAAAACAATTCCTCCTGCAGATACTTTTTTCAATCATTCTTAAACAATTTTTTTTGAAGGCGTGAACTCCTTTAAGCAGAGTGGGGTGCTGTCGTTGACTAACTCCCGCACTCAGCAAGGGGGTTGGAGTGGGTGACCTCTAGGATACCTTCTAACTTTGTGTCAAGAAGCTGGTCTCCTTTAAGAGAGTTCTCCTGCCTGTTAGCTCTCTTGACTCTAGAAGTCATCACCCCCACCTGCCGGCTTGCTGTCAGAAGGGTTGCTTAGGCTGGCAGAAGGGATTAACTTGCGGCAGCTGAGGACTGTCATCAAAAGTGATTGACAGCTTGCAATTCAGAGCTCTACCCTGGTCACCGCTTTCTATTGACTCAATGGTTTTTCTTTCTGCGCGGAGAACTTCCAGCCCCACCTGCCACAAAATCCTGACCACGGGCCTGGAAGTAGAATCTCCAAAAGAAGCAAAAAGCACCAATCTCCTTCCTTGCCCTTCCCCCCCCACACACACCAATATTCAGTTAAGCACCCTCCCCCTGCAAATATACCCCACCAGTCCAAGGTCTCCTTCCTCTTTGGGGCTCCATCATTACCCTGATGAAAAGCAAGCATCCCAACCTAGCAAAAACGTGCTCCGCCTCGATTAACCCGTTCCCCTCTTTCGCTGACTCTGAGCAAAGTCTTCAGCTGACAACTGACTGCATCAGTCAGATGGGATTTAAGCAGGGGTCATTTCCTACGGGAGCACACAGGAGCGGCGCTCCGGCAGTAAAGAGCCCAGGGGGCAAGCACCTGCAACAAGCCCCACCTCCTGCTCCCAGCAGCCCTCAGTCAGAGCAAGAAGCAGCCAGGTAAGTGGCAGAGCACTCCCCCCCCCGCCCACTGGTCCAAAACAGTCCATTGGCACCTTTAAGACCAAGTTTTATTCAGGTACAAGCTCTCCCTCCTCTGCGAGGACAGATCTGCATGTCCCCCCCCCAATAGCTAGCAATCCAAAACAGTCCAGTGGGGCCTGAGCGGTGGGTGTTGCCTTCTGACACTCTTCCGGTGATGTCAGGGGGTGTGGCATATGCAAATAAGTTATGATAATGAGCTCCTGCACCTCCTTTTCTATGAAATGTCCCCTGTATTTAAGTAATCACACCTAGTAGATGTTCATAGAAACATGGAGCTGGAAGGGACCTCAAGGGTCATCTAGCCCACCTCCCTGCGCAACGCAGTGACTGAAGAGAAGAGAGGAAGAGGTTGGATTTATATCCCTGTCCTTCACTTCCTGAAGGAGTCTCAGAGCAGCTTACAAATGCCTTTCCCTTCCCCTCCCCACAACAGACACCCTGTGAGGGAGGCGGGCCTGAGAGAGCTCTTTCGAGGACTACTCTTGAGGGAACAGCTCTGACAGAACTACGGCTTGCCCAAGGTCGTCCAGCAGCTGCAAGTGGAGGAGTGGGGACTCAAACCCGGTTCTTCGTGATTAGCATCTGCGCTCTTAACCACTACACCAAACTGGCATCAGTAGGGTTCCCGTCTCTGGGTTGGGAAATAGCTGGAGATTTTTTTGGGGGGTGGATGGGTGAAGTATCACAGAGTCCACCCCTCCAAAGCAGCTGTTTTCTCCGGGGGAGCTCATCTTGGTCGTCTGGAGATCAACTGTAACACAGGGGGATCTCCAGGTCTCACCTGGAGGTTGGCGAGCCTACATCACCAGAGAGGGGAGGGTCGCCTACCTGGACATGCATCCCCACGTCCCCTTGGTAGAGGATGAAGGAGATCAGGTTCCCCTTGGTGAGCAGGCCTGCCTGGATCTGCTGGTATCCGCTGTACAGGATGAGGAGATGAAGGGCCAGGCGGAGAAACTGCGAAGAAAAGAGAGGACGAAATGGGGCCTCGTCAGACAGACTGACCGCCGCCTCTTTCCTTGGGCGTTCTGTATTTCTTCACTGACATTCTACTTCCCCCTCCCTCTCCAGGTGGGACTCAAAGTGGCTTAAAAGACCGTCGCCCCTCCCTCCATTTTCTCACCGCCACCACAACCCTGTGAGGTAGGTCGAGCTAGGCGAAGAGCCTGTGAAGGGCCCGAGGCCGCTCTAGCCGCTGCCCCACACGGCCTCTCTCTGGTTTCGTCTCCCCTGCACCCTCCCTCATTCCCCTCATGAGGCATCGCCTGCTTTTAGCCATTTCCTCCTGTTCCCCGTGCGCCAGGGCCAGACGAGACAGCTGGCCTTCACCTAGTGGGTTTTCTCTTTTTGAAAGGTAAAACGGTTGCAGATGAAATAGGTGGATCGGGACCACAGCGTGGATGTGGGAGGAATTAACCCTTCCCCCTACGTTGCTTTCCTAAGTCAAATCCGCCCCACAAATTGCTATTTGTCTTGTGGGGGGGGCAGTGAATGCAGGCATCCCGCAATGCACCCTGAGCCCTTCAAAGGCTCAGCTTCCAAACATGAGGCACATGACTGCATAAGAACATAAGAGACACCAATGTTGGATCAGGCCAAAGGCCCATCCAGTCCAACACTCTGTGTCACACAGTGGCCAGAAATACCAGGGGCCATCAGGAGGTCCACCAGTGGGGCCAGGACATTAGAAGCCCTCCCACTGTTGACCCCCCCCCCCAAGCACCAAGATGACAGAGCATCCCTTGCCCCAGAGCCCCTATCTATACCTTGTGGCTAATAGCCACTGATGGACCTCTGCTCCATATGGTCATCTAATTCCCTTTTGAAGCCGTCCATGCTTGTAGCCACCGCCACTTCCTGTGGCAGTGAATTCCATGTGTTAATCACTCTCTGGGTGAAGGAGGACTTCCTTTTATCCGTTCTAACCCGACCGCTCAGCAATTTCATGGAGTGCCCACGAGTTCTTGTATTGTGAGAAAGGGAGAAAAGTACCTCTTTCTCTACCTGCTCTTTCCCATGCACCATTATCAGGAACTGCACATCATCAGGTCTATCTGATGACTGAGGGGGGGACATGGTAGAGGTTTGTAAAACAATGCATGGGGTGGAGAGAGTGGTGCCAAAGAGAACTGGTTCTCCCAACTCAAGGGCTTCCAACAAAGCTGATGGGCAGTAGGGTCAGGACGGACAAAAGGAAATACCGCTTTACACAGAGAGTGATTAAAATGTGGAATTTGCTGCCGGAGGTGTCGTGACGGCCACAGGAAGAGACGGCTTTAAATCAGGACTAGATGGAGTCACGGAGGATAAGTCTATCAACAGCTACTAGCTATGGGGGCTGAGGGGAACCTCCACATTCAGAGGCACAACGCCTCTGAATCCCAGAGCAAGAAGGCGACATAAGAGGAAGGCCTCGGCCTCTGTGCCCTGTTCTTGGCCCTCCAGAGGAACTGGTTGGCCACCGTGTGAGACAGGAGGCTGGACTAGATGGATCCTCACTGGTCTGATCCAGCAGGGCTCTTCTGATGTTGTTATCGGGGGAAGGCCTCGGCCTCTACGCCCTGTTGTTGCACATGCCACACTGGTGGAGGGTGCTCAGATGAGCAATGTGCGGCTCCCAAGCCACTGAGTGAATATCACTGTTCTAAATAAACAGAAGAAGAAGAGGAGGAGGAGGAGATTGGATTTATACCCCGCCCTTCACTCGGAGTCTCAGAGCGGCTTACAAACTCCTTTCCCTCCCCCTTCCCACAACAGACACCCTGTGAGGCAGGTGGGGCTGAGAGAGCTCTGACAGAAACTGCCCTTTGAACAACAGCTCTGACAGAACTATGGCTTGCCCAAGGTCATCCAGCATCTGCGAGTGGAGGAGTGGGGAATCAAACCCGGTTCTCCCAGATTAGAGTCCGCGCACTTAACCACTGCACTGAACTGGCTCTCACAGCCAGTTTGGTGTATATACAGCAAATGGCTGTTCGGTATAACATACAGTATAATATACAGCAAATGGCTGTTCCGTAACAACAGCAAGACAACCTTTTAGAGGGCAGAAACGTGGGATCAGCGTCACCTGCCCCACGGGTTCCCTCTCTGCCCATCACACCTGCTCAGCTTGTACCCATCGAGGCAAAGAGACACACACCAACAAAGACCTCTTTTGCTTTCCTCTTCAAAACACTTCAAAACAAAAAACGCTGCGGTGGCTCAAGTGGTTAAGATGCTGAACTGCAGGCTGTGGAAGGTCGGTAGTTCAGCAGTTCGAGACCCGAGTGTGCCGCATGACAGAGTGAGCTCCCGTCTCTAGTTCCAGCTCCTGACAACCGAGCAGTTCGAAAGGAAGAAATTGCAAGTAGACAAATAGGTACCACTTTGGTGGGAAGGTAACAGCGTTCCGTGCGCCTTGGTGTTTAGTCATGCCAGTCACATGACCACGGAAACGTCTTCGGACAGCGCTGGCTCTTCGGCTTGGAAACGGAGATGAGCACCGCAACCCCAGAGTCGGACTCGACTGGCTTTCGAGCAAGGGAACCTTTACCTTTACCTTCAAAACACGAGGATTCTTTAAACCTGATCTTTATTCCGCGCCACTCGAGAGGAATGCGGCAGGGAACAAAATCTCACACCTCAAAATGGTATGGTCCTCATAGAAAGGAATTCCACCCGCATTTGGGGTTTTTTTTGCCCCCCTTTATCCCTGGGACACAGTGGTCTCACCCGCCGGACGAGCAGATACAGCGCCCGCTCCAGATCTCGCTGGTTCTTGAGCTGCCGGGTCTCGGCCAGGGCCACGTCGTAGCGCCTGTGCTCCTCCTCCTCTGTGGCAAAGCTGCGCACCGTCTTAATGGAAGACAGTGTTTCACGCACCACCTCCCCGGAGCGTGCCAGGGAGTCCTGGATCTTCTGCAGGAAAGCCTGGAGAGAGGAGGCAACCGCAGAGACACGATGACAAGGGACATGCTCGGGCGTGGCTCAGGGGTAGAACATCTGCTTCACATGCAGAAAGTCCCCGGTTCGATCCCCGCCATCTCCAGCTTAAAGTTTCAGGTAACAGGTGATGTGAAAGACCTCCACCTGAGACCCCTGGAGAGCCGCTGCTGCTCCAAGTGTCCAATACTGGCCTTGTTGGAGCCACAGTCTGATTCAAAGTTCCCTCTAAGCTGTGGAGTCTTGTGAGCAAAAATTCTACTTTGTGAGCTACTGGCGTTAAAGTTGTGAGCGAGCGATTTGGCTGCTGCATTAAATCAGTTTGGTCTGGAGCCACCTCTCCCGAGCTTAGGCAAAAATGTCTGAGCCGGAGGCTAAAAAACTGAGCTAGCTCACACTAACTCAGCTTAGAAGGAACCAGGGCTATTTTTGGGCAGGAACGCACAGGAACGGAGTTCCGGCTGGCTTCAGAGTTGGCCACGCCCACTACAGCCAAAACCTCTGAGTGCCTGGCTACAGAGGGAAGGCCTGGAGAGTGACGCCCCTGGCAACTCTGAGGCGGGCAGGCCAGGGGGGACCCTAGAAGGATTGTGCCTTCCCCAGCCTGTCCAAGGGCAAGCCAAGGGAAGGCAGTTTAAACTGCCTCCCCTCTAAGGGCCGGCTTGCCCGGGCTCCCCGCAGCCAAGGGAATGCATGGGGGCGTGGCCTAATAAGCTACTGTGCTGTGCTGTCAGGGGTGTGGCCTAAAATGCTAATGGGTCCCTGCTGTTGGGTGTGGCCTATTATGCTAATGAGCTCCTGCTGGGCTTTTACTACCAAAAAAAGCCCTGGAAAGAACACTGGCGTGTATGTGTCCGTCTGTGTGTTGCAGGATTTTGTGCGGAGGCCGTGGATCAGTGGAAGAGCCTCTGCTCAGTGTGCAAAAGCTCTCGGGATTTAATTTAATTTACAGTATTTGTAGTCCCCCTGTTCTCCCTGGGACTCAAGGTGGATCGTACAAATTCGGGTGGGTTGCTGTGTTGGTCCGAAGCAATAGAACAAAGTTTGAGTCCAGTGGCACCTTTAAAACCAACGAAGTCTAATTCCGGGTAAACAGCATGATAAAAAGTAGAGACATCACCCTGCCAACAAAAGTCCACATCATCAAAGCAATGGTATTCCCAGTAGTCATGTATGGCTGCTAGAGTTGGACTATAAGGAAGGCCAAGCGCAGAAGAATAGATTCTTTTGAACTATGGTGCTGGAGCAGACTCTTGAGAGTCCCTTGGACTGCAAGAAGATCAAATCAGTCAATCCTAAAAGAAATTAACCCTGACTATTCCCTGGAAGGCCAGATAATGAAACTGAAGCTCAAATACTTTGGCCACCAAATGAGAAGGGAGCACGATTTGAAGAAGAAGAAGAGATCAGGTTTATACCCCGCCCTTCACTCGGAGTCTCAGAGCGGCTTACAAACTCCTTTCCCTTCCCCTCCCCACAACAGACACCCTGTGAGGTGGGCGGGGCTGAGAGAGCTCTTGACAAAAACTGCTCTTTTCAAGAACAGCTCTGACAGCACTAGGGCTTGCCCCAGGTCATCCAGCCAGGTGCAAGTGGAGGAGTGGGGAATCGAACCCGGTTCTCCCAGATCAGAGTCCGCGCACTTAACCACGACACCAAACTGGCTCTTTAGATCCGTCAGGCATTCACACCTATGTCGGATCTAAAGGAGTATGCGATTGCAGCCTCAGTAAGCAATGAAATAGGGTTAGGGGTGTAGAAACAAGAAGAAGTCTAAAAAACAGAACCGAAGCAGAGCATTGTGTTAACCGTGACACATTAAACGATGCAAAATTCCTGGACTCTGCAACTAAAAGGACCAGGCAGGAGGTGCTGTGAAAGACCTCTGGCTGGCCATTACCAGTCAGAGCAGTGTTCCCTCTAAGCTGAGTGAGTGTGAGCTAGCTCACAGTTTTTTAGCCTCCAGCTCACACATTTTTGTCCTAGCTCAGGAAGGATGGCTCCAGAGCAAACTAATTTATGCAGTAGTCAAATTGCTCACTCACAACTTTAATGCCAGTAGCTCACAAAAAAGAATTCTTGCTCACAAGACTCCACAGCTTAGAGGGAACATTGAGTCTGACTGGACAATACTGCCCTTCATGGACGGGAGAACTACAGATTCCATTTGAGATATGAGTTGTGCCTAGATTACTGTGGAAATCGGGTTCCAATTTTCAGCCGTGCAACTGAGGAAGAATGCTTTGAAACGTCTGGCATACCTGGGAAGGACGTTTTCAGCTGCTAGACGTTTGTGCTTTGGGACATCCTTTGAGGTCTATTTGGACACTATTCAAAGGCTATAGAGGAGTCTCCCATTGGATTTTTTCCACTTATCATCAAATTGTATTTTGAATTGCAAATAATGTTTTTTTTAGTTGTGACCACCGATTCTATTGTACTTATCAATTTATGGTTATCGTGTTGCAATAGACTGATGTCTACTGGTAACTTGTGAAAGTTGTGAATCTTTTGATGGTCTGCCCTTGCGGTTTATATTTTTGCATACTATTTACACTCGGGGTCCCTATTTTCGGGTGGTTCAGTAGAAGGCACCTACATGTGTGTTCAATATGGATACATCCAGGGGTCATTTCGTAGAGAAAGAGGTGCATGAGCTCATTAGCATAACTCATTTGCATATGCCACACCCCTTGACATCACCGGAAGTGTGTCAGAAGGCAACCCCCCCCGCTCAGGCTCCACTGGACTGTTTTGGATTGCTAGCTATGGGGGGGGGGGACGCGCAGATCTGTCCTCACAGTGGAGGGAGAGCTTGTACCTGAATAAAACATGGTCTTAAAGGTGCCACTGGTCTGTTTTGGACTTCAGGGCCGGGGGGGATCTCTGCAACTTACCTGGCTGCTTCTTGCTCTGACTGAGGGCTGCTGGGAGCAGGGGGTGGGGCTTGTTGCATGTGCCCGCCCCCTGAGCTTTTTACTGCCAGAGCTCCGCTCCTGCATGCTCCTGCAGGAAATGACCCCTGGATACATCTTTTGGGGCTGTGTATAACCTCCAGAACTGCCTATACCCTTCCAGGCAGGCATGGATCCCCACTACGTTCGCTTGCATTCGTTTTATGTTTCTTTATCACCTGCTCTTCTCCCCTGTTAGGACTCACAGCAGCCTAGAACAGCATCCTCCCCTCTTCCCTTTTATCACAACAACCCTGTAAAGTAGGCCAGGCTGAGAGACTGTGGTGGGCCCAGGATCACCCAGTGAGCTTCCATGGTTGAGCTGGGGACTTGAACCCGGGCTCTCCCGAATCCCACACTGCCCAAATTTCCAAACTGGTCCTGGCCCTGCCTGACTGCTCCCTGGCTGCACACCTGGTGACGGGTGTCGTAGACCTTCTGGAGGGCCATCATGAGCGGCGTCTCGACGAGGGTCAGCAGAGTCAGGCGCGGCGAGAGGCTGAACATGAAGCCGTAGAGCCAGGCGGCCTGGATCAGGGAGCGCAGGAAGATGTTGGTGTTGGCTGGCACTGACCGGCTCATCATGGCCGTGTCTTTGGAGAGGCGGGAGGTCAGGTCCCCTGCAGGACAAAGAGGAAGGCTCTGGTAAGATCAGGAAGACCTTCTTGGACCATCAGAACAGAGGTCAGGTTCCCTAGCGGGGCAAAGAAGAAGACTCTGGTAGGAACCAGAAGACCTTCTTGGACGGAGTCAAAATACGGCAGGAAGGGAAACAGGCAGGAGTTAGATTCAGGCGGGGTAGCCATGTTGGTCTGAAGCAGTTTGAGTCCAGTGGCACCTTTAAGACCAACAAAGTTTAATTCTGTATAGACACTTCCTCAGATACAGTGGAACAGAACCTCCTCAACCATTACTTATAGGGGGATGGGGTAGTCAAGATGCATTAGTACTGGATGATTATAGCTGAGACTGGATGTAAGAAAGAATCTGTGAATGGCAGTAAATTAGCATACAAATACAAGGAGGAGGAGGAGGAGGAGGAGGAGGAGGAGATTGGATTTATACCCCGCCCTTCACTCGGAGTCTCAGAGTGGCTTACAGTCTCCTTTCCCCTCCCCTCCCCTCCCCACAGCAGACCCCCTGTGAGGTAGATGGGGCCGAGAGAGCTCTTTCGAGGACTTCTCTTGAGAGAACAGCTGTGAGAGAACAGCTCTGAGAGAACTTGTGACTAACCCAAGGTCACCCAGCAGGTGCGAGTAGAGGAGTGGGGAATCAAACCCAGTTCTCCCAGATTAGAGTTCACTACTCTTAACCACTACACCAAACTGGCTCTCTGGCAAACTGTTAACAAACAGATGTGGGAACGAGGCTTGCGTCCAGGGACGCCTACAAGACAAATAAAGGTCAATTCTGGGTACGAGCGAGAACCGGGAGACTTAATATGTACATTCCTTCAGAGTTGTCCTTATATTTCTCTCTCAGCAGTAGTCTGGCTGAATCCGTGGGTGACTCCCAAACTTCAAGATCCATCTATCTACTTAAATTTTTATCCCAGCCTGGTCTTTCTCTGGGAAGCGCAACGCAATGCAGATGGTTCTCCTCTATTTTAGCTTTGCAACAACCATAAAGGGGAGGTTTGACTGACAAGGATTCTGGCCTACACCTTTCATGAAAGAGGAGAGTGTGTTGACTTCATTCGTATCCCATCTTCTTCCTCAACAGGGACCAAAAACAACTCATGTCATTCACCTCATGAACACAAGAAGATAACACAAGAATCAGACCCTCGGTCCCATCACAGTCCGTATCGTCTCTCCAGGGTCTCAGGCTGAGGTCTTTCACATCACCTCCTGCCTGGTCCTTTTAGCTGGAGATGGCAGCAATTGAACCCGGGACCTTCTGAATGCCAAGCACATGGTCTGCCAGTGAGCCACAGCCCCTCTTCTTCTCTACTGAAAGCCAGTTTGGTGTAGTAGTTAGAAGCGCAGACTCTAATCTGGGAGAACCGGGTTTGATTCCCCACTCCTCCACCTGCAGCTGCTGGTGTGACCTTGGGTCAGTCACAAGTTCTCTCAGAGCTGTTTTCTCACGGGCAGTTCTCGAAAGAGCTCTCTCAACCCGACCTACCTCACAGGGTGTCTGCTGTGAGGAGGGGAAGGGAAAGGAGTTTATAAGATGCTCTGGGACTCCTTCAGGTAGTGAAGGGCGGGGTATAAATCCAATCTCTTCTTCATCTTCTTATCTGAGCCTCACAACCACCACCCTGTGAGGTAGGTTAGGCTGTGAGTGTGTGACTGGCCCAAGGTCACCCAGCGGCTTCCAAAGCAGAGCAGGATTCGAATCGGAGTCTCCCAGATCCTACACCACACTGTCCCTCACCCCGAAACTCCTCAGCCCCAGTCCAGCACTCTAGCTATTAGACCATATTGCCACACTTAAATGCCTCTGGCCCAACTTGGAGAAAGTCAGCGCAGTACAGCAGTTGAGAGAGTCAGATTAGCATCTGGGAGACCCAGGTTCGAATCGCCACACTACCATAAAGCTCACTAGGTGATACTGGACCTGTCCATCTTTCTCAGTCAAATCTACCTCACAGCAATTTTTCTACAGCCTGGTTTGGCCAGGGATCCTGGAGGTTTTTTTGACATCTTCTGGACGTGGAACAGCGGTCACTGGAGGGTGTGAGAGGGGGAGATAATTGTGAATTTCCTGCATTATGCAGGGGGTTGGACTAGATGACCCTGGAGGTCCCTTCCAACTCTGTGGATTCTAGGGTTGTTGAGAGGCTAAAATGGAGAAGAAAAGAACCATGTAGCCGTCTGCTCCTCGGAGGACAGGAGGAATAGAAAACATAGTCAGTGAATAAATAACATATTAAGAAAACTGTGAAACAGCCATTATAGTCTTTTTGCCACTTCATCATGGGGGAAGGGCGAACAGCGCGATTGTTTTTTTAATTTCCGCTTTCATCGCAGCCCAGTTGTGCGGGGGAACCCGGATCTGGATTCTAACTGACGGCCAGTCGTGAGCTCTGCGGGAGGCCTCAGTCTTCCCATCTGTAAAATGGAAACGGATTAGCGAACCAGAAACTGTGTTGTTCGGAGGAATGGTAAGTGAAAGACAAACACACCCCAGAAAGGCTGAATTATGACAGCAGCAGACATGGGGAAGAACGGCTGGATTGCAGAGATAGGTTTGGAGGGGCCCCCTCACCTGTTTTCACCTCGTGGAAGAAGGCCAGATCCTGCCGCACCAGAGAAGAGAAGAGCAGGCCGCGGACCCGGATGTTCATCCGGGACATGGTGAACATGAAGAGTCCCCCACGGCAGCCAGCAAACAAAGAGCTGAAACGGGCACAAGAGAGAGAGAAGAGATTGGATTTATACCCCGCCCTTCACTCGGAGTCTCAGAGTGGCTTACAAACTCCTTCCCCTCCCCACCACAGACGCCCTGTGAGATACGTGGGGGCTGAGAGAGCTCTGACAGAAACGGCTCTTTTTCAAGGACAGCTCTTGACAGAACTACGGCTTGCCAAAGGTCATCCAGCCAGGTGCAAGTGGAGGCGTGGGGAATCAAACCCGGTTCTCCCAGATTAGAGTCCGCGCACTTAGACACCAAACTGGCTATGAACATGCACCTGTGAAATATCTCTCACCCATGGTCTTGGGGGGTGGGTTCTGAAGGCCAAAGGTTCCCCCCACATGTACACATACACTCCCCAGGGAGGAGGAGGAGGAGAAGAAAAGGAAGAGATTGGATTTATACCCCGCCCTTCACTACCCAAAGGCGTCTCAGAGCGGCTTACAAACTCCTTTCCCTTCCCCTCCCCACCACAACAGACACTCTGCGAGGGAGGTGGGGCTGAGAGAGCTCTGACAGAAATGGCTCTTTCAGAGCTAAGGCTTGCCCAAGGTCATCCAGCAGCTGCAAGTGGAGGAGTGGGGAATCAAACCCGCTTCTCCCAGATTAGAGTCCACGCACTTAACCACTACACCAAACTGGCTCTCACACCAAACTGGCTCTCAGTACATAAGAACATAAGAGAGAAGCCAATGTTGGATCAGGCCAATGGACCACCCAGTCCAACACTCTGTCACACGGTGGCCAAAAATACCAGGTGCCATCAGGAGGTCCACCTGTGGGGCCATGTACAGCTTGGAGTGGCCATGATGGGGGGGGGAAGCAGTGGCTCTGTGTCCCTCTCCCACAATGCTTTGGGACTGTCCTGTCTGGTCCTCCTCCTCCCATAACCCAAGGGGAGTTTCATTCATTCATTGGCTGCCTGACGCCATCTGACCAGACATTCTGTGGCCTGTAATTCGCCTTGAAAGTCAGCGAATAGAAATTAAATAAAATAAACGGGGCAATCCTGCTTGCTAAGGGCAGGATGGGGCTTTCTGGTCCTAGTGACAGGGAAGGAGGGCCCCCCAAATCGGGGTGCTGCAGGAGGGAAGGCGTGACTTCTCTGGACCATGAATTGCCCCTTGTCCAAATTCTGCCACGCATCCGATTCCATCTTTAGCTCTAATGCGCTAAAGGTATTGTTGGGAATATCGGGGGGGGGGGAGCATCTCACCTGCCCAGGGACACCAGACAGACGAGGAAGATGGTGTCCGAGAAGGCATCCGAGTTGTATTTCTTGCCCAAGATATCAATCACGCGGCCCGTATAGTAGGGGATGTACGTTTCAGCTGGAGAGAGATGAAGACGGCGGAGGTAACATTTTAATAACAGGGAAGGGAATCGAGAACAGACCGAAGGAAGGACTTCTTTGCCCAAAGAGTCCTGAACACGTGGAGTTCACTGCCTCGGGAAGTGGTGGCAGCTACAAGCACAGACAGCGTCAAGAGGGGATGGGATAAACATCTGGAGCAATGGTTATTAGTCACAAGGGGTAGATGGAGCTGCGGTGGCTCAAGTGGTTAAGACGCTGAACTGCAGGCTGTGGAAGGACAGTAGCTCAGCAGTTCGAGACCCGGGTGCTGCATGACGGAGTGAACTCCCGTCTCTGGTTCCAGCTCCTGCCAACCTAGCAGTTCTAAAGCAAGAAAATGCAAGTAGATAAATAGGTACCACTTCGGTGGGAAGGTAACAGCGTTCCGTGCGCCTTGGTGTTTAGTCATGCAGGCCTCATGACCACAGAAACGTCTTCGGACAACGCTGGCTCTTCGGCTCGGAAATGATGAGCACTGCAACCCTAGAGTCGGATTCACTGTCTTTCGAGCAAGGGGAACCTTTACATTTACTTTTTAAGAACATAAGAACATAAGAGACGCCAATGTTGGATCAGGCCAAAGGCCCATCCAGTCCAACACTCTGTGTCACACAGTGGCCAGAAATACCAGTGCCATCAGGAGGTCCAGCAGTGGGGCCAGGACATTAGAAGCCCTCCCACTGTTGACCCCCCCAAGCACCAAGAAGACAGAGCATCACTTGCCCCAGAGCCCCTAGCTATACCTTGTGGCTAATAGCCACTGATGGACCTCTGCTCCATATGCTTATCTAATTCCCTTTTGAAGCCATCCATGCTTGTAGCACCCACCACTTCCTGTGGCAGTGAATTCCAAGTGTTAATCACTCTTTGGGTGAAGAAGGACGTCCTACCGTCCCTGCCTGCCTCGGGCCACACCACGTGGCCCAGGCAAGCCCTCCCAGGCCCGTCATCCATCTTCCCGGAGCCACGTGCTCTGGGAAAGATCTCTCCCCCCCGTCCGCCATCTTCCCGGAGACGTGCGGAGCTGCACGCCCCGGGGAAGATCTCCCCTCCCCGTCCCTGCCTGCGTCGGCTGCTCCGTGCAGCCCAGGCAACCCCTCGTCCTCTATCTTCCTGGAGGTGTGCGGAGCCCCCCCCCGTCCTCCATCTTTCTGGAGGCATGCGGAGCTGCACGCCCCAGGGAAGATCTCCCCACCCCGTCCCTGCCTGTGTCGGCTGCTCCACGCGGCCCAGGCAAGGAACCCCCTCCCATCCTCCATCTCGTCCTATGTCTGGGGCAGTGATGCCCTGCATTCTTGCTGCTTGGGGGGCAAGAGTGGGAGGGCTTCTGGAATTCTGGCCCCACTCATAGACCTCCTGATAGAAACTGGTATCTTTGGCCACTGTGTGACACAGAGTGTTGGACTGGTTTGGCCATTGGCCTGATCCAGCATTTGCTTTCCTTATGTTCTCTTATGTTCCCTTAGCCGCAAGGCATGGATGGAACACTCTTTCTGGGGCAGTGATGCTCTGTATTCTTGGATCTTGGGGGGCAACAGTGGGAGGACCTCTGGAGTTCTGGCCCTGCTGGTGGACCTCCTGATGGGACCTGGGTTTTGGCCACTGTGTGGCACAGAGTGTTGGACTGGATGGGCCATTGGCCTGAGCCAACATGGCTTCTCTTATGCTCTTATGTCTGGGGCAGTGAAGCTCTGTCTTCTTGGTGCTTGGGGTGGGAGGGGCAACAGTGGAAGGGCTTCGGCAGTTCTGGCCCTGCTGGTGGACCTCCTGATGGCACCTGGCATTTTTGGGCACTGTGTGACACAGAGTGGTGGACAGGATGGGCCACTGGCGTGATCCAACATGGCTTCTCTTATGTTCTTAACCCTGCCCCTGTGTTTGTTCTTAGGCTGTTTCCACACAGATGTTCTGTTCCATGTTGGCTTCTGTATAGTAATGCTGTTTTGGGGGAAATCCTCAATGGACACAAAAGTGTACATTTCTGCATGTCTGTCCACATTGGTGCCGTTTTCCTTTTCTCAGTCTCCAGGGCCGCCACCCCCTCCCCCACGCACACATACATTGGATGGTGTTTTTTTTAAAAAAGTAGCAATTGGGAAATCTCTACTGTGCAATAATGTTTCAACATCCTGTTGCCCCAGACTACCAGTTTCCTGCTTTTATTTTTAATTTAAAAATTAAAAAAATTAAGTCTCTAGCTCTTTTGGTAGCTGAGTTATAAGGAGAAACACTTTCCCCCTTATAACTCCACAACGAAAAGGGCTAGAGACATGCCTTTTTTTAAAAAAAAACCCTGAAGGCCAAGAACTGGAAGACTGTAGTTTTGTTTCTTTACTCTGTGTGCTTAATCAATTTTATCGAAAATTTAATGTTATTTCTCTGTACTTAATGTATTACGATGAAGTTCGAAATTTAATAAACATATATTAAAAAAAGAAAGAAAGAACTGGAAGACTGGGGCAACAAATATGTTATAATGGGGGAGAACAGTGGCTGGGGAGGGGCTAAGGCAAAGGAAATACGGGGGAGACTGCCGTGTGGACGCTCCGTGGCCACTGCAGCTATCTTTGCATTTGCAGCAGCGACAAGAGCCACGCAGCAGCGAATCAGGTCTTTGTGGAAGAAGCCCAAATCCACCTTTCCCCCTCCATTATCCTTTTTCAAAACAAAACAACCTGACTGAGAAGAATCTTGCCCGCAAACCCACCAACCTCCCCATTCATCAGGACCCGCGCACAGCCTGCCATTGGACAGGCCGTGCGCCCACTTACCGATCACTGCCATAGTGAGGAACATAAATGCGCCGCCAAGGTACGGGGTGTCTGCAGAGAACAGCCTCAGCAACTTCCGCAGCGTGGCCTTGTCTTCTTCCTTGGTTTCTCCCCTCCGGCCCCCCTGCTCCAGAGCCCCCCAAGTGATGCAGACCAGACCCACTGCCCCATAGCCCAGCAGCAGCCAGGACCAGGGGGCTGAAGACAGCAGGAGAGGAGGGTCTCCGAGCCAGTGCCCCACTGAGTAGTGAAGGGCGGGCAACAGACACACGGTCACCAGGGCTGCGGAAGGGAGGTGGGGGGGCCGGACCAGAGACAGCAGCCCCTGGACCCCCCAGAGAGCCACCAGACGCAGCCCCGCCTCCAGCCATGTCGCCGGGACCCCCAGGGGGGCCAGGGAGGGCCGCCACAGGTCTAGCAAGGAGAGGAGGGCGACGTCACACAAAAACAGGAGGGCGGCCGAGCAGAAGGCAGTGGAGAGGCCCATGGTGGCAGAACCTGTGGGGAGAGGGAAGAAAAGTTAGCTTTTCTAGGCCTCTGAAAATTTTCCAGATTGGCCCCTGACAGACTCATTTCGGCCAGCTGAACTCTGCCTGCACTTCTGAGGAAGAAGAGGTATCTGTGTAACATATCGGGTCCAGGTGCTCTTCTGTGGGAACCCACCTTGTGGCTCAAAGTTGTTTTGCCAGTTTGGACTTTGGCACTCGGCTTAGAAAAAGAGACCATTTTGGTGGGAGTGAAATGGAGAGCCCGAAAGGATGCCAAAGAGACGGCTCTGATTCAGCCATGCTCGCTCACGCTTGTTCCTGATCGTGCCATTATTCATTTTTAAATAAAATGTTTAAAAGGACGCATTGCTTCGACACCTTTCATTTTTTTTCTTCTTCTAGGAGAATAGTCCAGTCGACGGATTCTTTCCCCCCCCCCTTTTCGGATGGACGGCTAACAGTTCATAGTTGCCCTTAGTCAGTGGTGGCAAACCTATGGCACGGGTGCCAGAGGTGGCACTCAGAGCCCTCTCTGTGGGCACGCATGCCATCGCCCCAGACTATCATTAAAGTGTCGAATTCTCTGCCAAATAATTTTAAGAAAGTGAAAGCATTTGGGATTGCTTTCCTTACTTTGTTTGGATCATCTTAAGTTAATGTATGAGTTGTTTTTTCTAAAGTAAAACCTCAGTATTCAGGTTAGATTGCTGTGTTGGCACTTTGCGATAAATAAGTGGGTTTTGGGTCGCAGTTTGGGCACTCGGTCTCTAAAAGGTTTGCCATCACTGCCCTAAGTTGACCCTTGCCGAGTCTCTCCAAAAGGGACACCTTTGACAGAAAAGGGGTCATTATTGGCTTGCCTGGGGAGTGACCCCCCCAGTGGAAAAAAAAAACCCATCAGCCCAAATGCACATTTTCCTTCCCATAACTGAATACAAAACTCCACCCATAACCCCCAATCCCACAAAGATGCACAGAATCATTTCTCACTGCAAGGGGGGGGGTCTTCCTTGGCCCACTCCAGCTGAAACCAGCCATCCTACTGGAGGATTTGAGGCACTACAGGGCTATTTTGGGGCAGGAACGCACAGGAATGGCGTTCCGGTTGGCTCCTGAGTTGGCCACGCCCAGCAGGGACTCATTAGCATAATAGGCCACACCCAACAGCAGGAACTTATTAGGATTGGCTACATTCGAGGTGTGTGGCCTAACATGCAAAGGAGTTCCTGCTATAAAAAAAAAAGGCCCTGGGTTTTGACAGCAAACAAGGTCAACAGAATAAGAAGCAAAAGGTGGGTGTGGCTGGATGACCACACTTCTGGTAACATGGGGGCGTAGCCTAATATGCGAATGAGCTGTGCTGTCAGGGGTGTGGCCTAATATGCTAATGAGTTTCTGCGGGTGGGTGTGGCCTATTATGCTAATGAGTTCCTGCTGTTGGGTGCGGCCTATTATGCTAATGAGTTCCTGCTGGGCTTTTTCTACAAAAAAAGCCCTGGAGGCACATATTTCCCTACCCTCTCTCTGAAGCCAACTGAAAGTGCAGCATAAACCAGGAGGGAGCTAGCCCTAGGCTGAGGAAACCTGGTTTCGGGCAACCTTCTGCCACCGATTCACTGTGACGGCCTTGGTCGAGTCACCTTCGGTGCCTCCTCTGTAAAATGGGCACCAGAGGAACCCACAAGGGGAGTCTCAGATCTCTCTGGCCACCTTAGGTTGGCCTTCCCTCTGCAACCAGTGTTCCCTCTAAGCTGAGTTCGTGTGAGCCAGCTCCCTCACAACTTTAATGCCAGTGGCTCACAAAGTAGAATTTTTGCTCACAAAACCCCACCGCTTAAAGGGAGCATTGTGCTCCCTCTAAGCTGAGTTAGGTCGAGCCAGGTCACAGTTTTTTATCCTCCGGCTCACACATTTTTGTCTTCGCCCAGGAAGGGAGGGCTCCAGAGCAGACTAATCTATGCAGCAGCCAAGTCGCTCGTTGGCAACTTGAATGCCAGCAGCTCACAAAGCAGGATTTCTGCTCACAAGACTCCACGGCTCAGAGGGCGCATTGCAAAGACACAGCCGCTCATGCGCTGACTGATCCCAGAGAAGGACCACAGCGTCCTTTCTGCTGAAACGGATATAGGCTTATTCTAAAAATGGCAGAAGGGACGGTTTGGGTTCCTGCCCTTTGGAGAGAAGGAAGGCAAAGGCGCGGGAGATCCGGAGCCGAGCTAATTCTTAGAAGAGAGGGAGCGAGGAGGGACTGCGGGTTGTCCCGGATAAATTGACCCACCGTTTCAAAAAGAAAACCTGCGTTCCTCTTGTTGTGCGCCCGTCCAGCCCCTTCCAATGCACCGATCCCCCCCCCTTGCATGGTCGTCTTCTTCCCCAAATCCCGTCTTACTTACCCGCACCCCCGAGTCTTCCGGAGAGGAGCTGCCGAATGAGCGTCTCGAATTTGTTACTTTCGTTTTCAAGCGGAAAGCCCCGGCACGGCCCCGACTGCTGCATTTCCTCTTCGGGCCACAAGGCGGAGCCCGCGCTCCATATATGAAACGTCTGGCGCCGGCAAACCAGAGTCACTTAAAAGCCGGGGACGTTTCCCACGACTTGCCAGTTGCGTGCTGATCCGTCCCCGGAGGTGCCTTCTCTCTGGGTGGTTATTCTGAACGGGGCCTTCGAGGAACCAATGTTCCCTCTAAGCTGTGGAGTCTTGTGAGCAGAAATTCTACTTTGTGAGCTGCTGGCATTAAAGTTGTGAGCTAGCGATTGGGCCACTGCATAAATTAGCTTCCTGAGCTAAGACAAAAATGTGTGAGCCAGAGGCTAGAAAACTGTGAGCTAGCTCACACCGGAGCTGTTCCTGCTCTCCATACAGGATCCGCTTGCTAATTTGCAACTGAGCTCCAAAACCCAGGGTGGCCAACTCCAGGTGGGGAAATTTCTGGGGATTTTGTGGGTGGAGCTCTGAGGCTGGTGTTCTATGTCCACTGACTGCCACTAGGCGACAGTGGTTGCAACCTGAGCTTGGCTCCTTAAGAACAATAGGGACTAGGATCCTGAGCTGCCCTGGTAGCACCTATCGGATCTGTGGTGGGAAGTTCAAACCTTCCAATGGGACTGGTGGGTGTACCCCAGGGACTGTATATAGTTGGCCAGCAGGTAAAGGATTGTGTGTTGTGTACCAGTAAACGGTGAGCTGTTAATCACTGAGCATCTGTGTGGGGGAGAGGGACCTCAGCAGGATGTAACGTGACTGACCAGTTCCTCTGGAGGACCAACAACAGAGCAGAGGGGCCCAGGCCTTTCCCTGATGGTACCTCCTGGCTCTTGGGTTCAGGGGCTGACTGCCTCTGAATTAGGAGGTTCACCATGGCTAGTGGCCACTAAGAGATCTACCCTCTGTGAGCCTGTCTAATCCCGTGTGTGCGCCTGTGGCCATCACTACCTCCTCCGGCAGTGAATTCCGCATTTCAATAACTTTTGATTCAATAACTTTTGGGGGCCCAAAACCTGCTGGTCATCCCGGGCCCCAAGGACACCAAATTGGCTGCGACCAGAGCGAGGGCTTTTTCAGTGGCGGCTCCTACCTGGTGGAACGAGCACCTGGGGGAGATCCGGGCCCTGCGGGACCTTATGCAGTTCTGCAGGGCCTGCAAGACGGAGCTCTTCCACCAGGCCTTTGAGTAGGAGCCGCCCCCCCACCATACCACCACCGTCATGGTATCTTAAAGGATGCACAGACGAGGCCCTGATGAAGATCCTGGAATGTGTAAAGATCTGATAAGCTGTCGCCATTCGTGGGAGCACCACCTGGAATTGTGTTGATTGATTCCATCTTGGATTATGATATCAGTGACTGAGCACCGTTGTTGTTTTTAAGTGTTAGTTGTTTTTATTATGTTTTAGATGTTTGTTTATGGCACGGCTGATTACCTTGCCCTTGTGAGCCGCCCTGAGCCCATTGGGGAGGGCAGGATACAAATGTGAAAAATAAATAAATAAATAAATAATTTACTTAATAATCAACCCCATGTTTCGATAAAGAAGGATTTCCTTTGGCCTGTCCCGAACCCACCACCCATCAGCTTGGCTGGGCATGCAGATCACGAGGGTCTTCCCGCACCAAACTCCTCCTTCCAAAAGTCCGGAACTCCACAGAATCCTCCACCCCACCCCCAACAGTGAAAGCTGCAGCTTATGGCTGAGAGAAGTGGGGAGATGGCCGACCAGCTGTCTCACCGCATGGCCGTCCAGCTCCAAATGGAGGAGCAACAGAACTGAGGCATGGGGGATACAGCTGGCAGGACCGGGTGTGTGTGCGTGTGTGCGGTGAGATCCAACCAGAGGAGGCGCTTCCTAAGAGCATCCAAACGTGCTGTGTTGCAAAGGTTTTCCAGACTTGCATCCCAGAACCATAGAGTTGGAAGGGACCTCCAGGGTCATCTCGTCCAACCCCCTGCACAAGCCAGGAAATTCACAAATCCACACCTGCAGTGACCCCACTTCCATGCCCAGAAGATGACCAAAAAAACCCTCCATCCAAACTGACCTGGAGGAAAATTGCTTCCTGACCCCAAAGCGGTGATCAGCGTGTAAGAAAGGGCCCGGCCCACAAGCACTGAGCCCTGAGGCAACCCTTCCTGCCCTCCCTCTCACGATCGGCCAAAGTTCACACAATCAGCATGGCTGTCAGATGGCCATTTAAGCTTTGATTCCCAGCTTTGGCCTTAACGGCCTGGGCCCCCATGATTCTCCCGCACCACCGCACCTGGACAGGTAGGCCTGCCTCCCCCCCCTACACAGGGCCAGAGTTAACACCAAGGTCTCTCTCACCCTGCAAAATGAACCAGGTTGGTTTGTAAGCGCCTGCTGGTGGGGGATTTTTTGGTGGTTTTTTTTTTTTTTTTTTTTAAAAGAACGTGGACTTCTTGGAACCAGAGTCCTGCATTATTTTTTATCCCCCCCCCCCCAATTTTAGGGCCTCTTTAAGTTTAAAAAAAATCTTAAAAACAAAGCCCCCCTCCCCAAAGCACCATTCGCTTGCCATGTGGCACCTCTTTGTTTTGTGGTTCCCGACCTGGTTCTCCATCGGTGGCCGTCTCTATGCCCTCTGAGAGCATCGAAAGGCAAGGGGAGACATTTTAGACAGGGTGCATTTTTGGCCCTTTCTCTCTTACCTGTCAGAGATGTTTTAGGCTGATCCTGCATCGAGCAAGGGGTTGGACTAGATATGGCTCATAGCCACTGATGGACCTCTGCTCCATATAAGAACATAAGAGAAGCCAATGTTGGATCAGGCCAATGGCCCATCCAGTCCAGCATTCTGTGTCACACAGTGGCCAAAAATACCAGGGGCCACCAGGAGGTCCACACTTGAAGCCCTCCCACTGTTGACCCCCCCCCCCCAAAGCCCCAAAAAGACAGAGCATCCCTGGCCCCGGCCCAAACCGGGACTCCCTTTTTCTCCC